TGCTCTAACCTACTGAGCCAGTCCCCTGATGAGGAAATTTTAATGGCTGATAAAACACACAGAAAATGCTCAAACTTACTAATAATTAGTAAAATGCAAAGTAAATAACAATTAGATGCCATTTCACACCCTTTTGACTGGCAAAAGTTAAAGTATATTCACCAAAGTCCAGGGTTCAATCCCTGTACCAGCCAGCTGCAGAAAAAGAAGTACATTAAAACCAAGTTTTAGTACAAATGTGAAGAAAAGGAGGGAATGTAAATTGGGGCAAGTGCTGGCCGGTTAGCTAAGTTGGTTAGAGCACTCAAGGTATTGATAACACCAAGGTTAAGGGTTGGGTTCAATTCTTATAGCAAAAAACTGTGGAAAGCCCTTGGGAAAGAAATTTGGTGACACCCAGTAAGGTAGGTACATGCCCTTCAACTCAACAATTTTAATCTATGTATAGCTCGGAGGAATGATCTCCCAAGAGAGGTATGCCTCAGGCACATAATAATCACAGAGGTACTGAAAGAAAGAAGAAAAACAAGTAAGCTTCACTAATACTTAGTAAGAAGATGGACATTGCTGCCCTACCTGGGCCTCTCTGTCAGACATCCTGGATTATGTAAGGCAGGTAAGGTAACTAGATAAGGGGTAAGGGAGAGCTTCATATCTGGAGGGGTTGTGTGTATATTCTTTCAGTGTCCTGTGGTGTGTTTGCTTTTCAGTGTACTATGCAGTGTACATATGTCCAGAAAAATGGATTTACAGATTATGCTATCTGGATTTAATTTTCTTAGCCCCCCAAAGTGAACAAGGGATTTAAGATTCCCGTGAAAAAGCAAGATTACAATTACAAATAACTAGTGATTAACACTCCAAGTACAAACTCTTAGGTTCAATAAACTCCGATCAATGTTGAGAAGGAGTCAACTGGCCAAGGAGTGAGATCACCTCTTTTCAAGGAAAACTCTTGCCATGAAGAGCATATTTTGAAGATAGATGTTTGGAAATGTTTTGATCATTAAGTGACTTTGTTTCTAATAACGGTGTGTGTGCTGTCTTTCAAAACAAAACAAAACTCACTGCATATTTAAAAATCTAGGAAACAATAAATAAATAAATAAAAATATAGGAAACAAAATTTTCTTTTTTTTTTTTTAAAGATGACGGGTAAGGGGATCTTAACCCTTGACTTGGTGTCATCAGCACCACGCTCTCCCAAGTAAACCATGAGCTGGCCCCTAGGAAACAAAATTTTCTAAACCATTTAAAAATCTTCCAGGCCAAAGGTTCAGATCCCCAAACCAGCCAGCCGCCAAGGAAGGAAGGAGGGAGGGAGGGAGGAAGTAAGGAAGGGAGAGAGGGAGGGAAGGAGGGTAGGAGGGAAAGGGAGGAGGAGGAGGAGGAGGAGAAGAATCTTCCAGAGAAGTATGTCACTGGGTTCTGAACCCATTTGTCAAAAATTTTAAAATGTAATAACTTCTGATTAGTTTGCAAGAACAACTGATAAACATCAGAGAAAAGAGAAATTTATTAGCTCAATTTCAATAAAAGCCTTGACAGATATGACTGAAAAATGAGTATCTAGGGCCAGCCCGGTGGCGCACTGCTACAGTGTGCCGCTTGGGAAGCGCGGCAGCGCTCCCGCCGAGGGTTCGGATCCCACATACAGACCGGTTCCCGCTCACTGGCTGAGCCAGGGGCAGGGAGCAACACCGAGGGTTGCGATCCCGTTGCCGGTCCCGGGCCGGTACGGGCGCGACACTGAGGGTTGCGATCCATTGCCGGTCATGAAAAAAGACAAAAAGGAAAAAAAAAAATGAGTATCTAGTTTTATTAAGTGCAATGATGCAAATTTTTTGAAAAATGGAGAATAACAGATATTCAAACAAGTAGATAGAATATTATAAGAACCCCAGTGTGTCCATCACCCAGCTCCATTTATACCTTCATCCATTGAAGAATCATTTGCAGTCATGACAGCCGTGAAAAGCAAGGATTGGAATAAATAGAACTTGGGCTGGCAGGTTAGCTCAGTTGGTTAGAGTGGTGCTGATAACACCAAGGTCCTGGGTTGGATTCCTGTACTGGCCAGCCATCAAAAATAAAATAAAATAAAATAAATAAATAAATAGACCTTAAAACCACACCTTTGAATGGCTGTTATACAAAGTGTCAAGCCAAAATTTGAAAAAAGTGATGAATACTTAACACTACTGAACTATACGTTTAAAAATGGTGAAGATGGTAAATTTTATATTTTACCACAATTAAAAATAAAAATAAATAAATAGGGGGAGTAATGAAGCATCTTCAACTATACTACTTTCACTAAGGGTTTTTTGTACCACAAATAAATATTTGTAACATTATTTACTTTACTTTTTAATCACCCTTTTTACAGTTCTCTTTTTGTATGTTTTATGATGCACTTACTAATTTGTTTTTTGTTTTTGTTTTTGTTGTTGTTGTTTTTGCTGGCTGGCTGGTACAGGGATCCAAGCCTGGACCTTGGTGTTATCAGTACCACACTCTGAGCTAACCGGCCAGCCCAGACATATTAATTTGATATAGCAGTTCATACAAATAATTCGTAAGTACTACATATTCATACATTAGGGTGCATGCCGGAAATATTTTTACTGCTAAGAGTATGTGGCAAAAATATGTTGGATGCTCAAAATATTTTTTTTTTTTAAAGATGACCGGTAAGGGGATCTTAACCCTTGACTTGGTGTTGTCAGCACCACGCTCAGGCAGTGAGCAAACTGGCCATCCTTATATGGGATCCGAACCCGCGGCCTTGGTGTTATCAGCACCGCACTCTCCCGAGTGAGCCACAGGCCGGCCCCACTTTCATTTTTTTTCTGTAGGCTTCCTGTTTGTCATCTGTCCATTTGAATTTCTTTAACCATGAGCAATTGTTTCTCTTATAATAAAATAGCCACTGAGGATATTCTTAAAACTTAGAGTCTGGAGAGGCTTCACTCAGTTTTGTGAGAAGCTTGGGGATGCCTTCAAAAACCTTTGTTCATTGTACCAATTTCACTTTCCTGATTTTGATATTGTGCTATAGTTATGTAAGATGCCATTACTGGTGGAAACTGGGCAAAGGTGTGCAGAACTCTATCTGCTAGGTTTGAAACTTCCTGTGAGTTTGTATTTCTCAAAAAAAAAAAAAAAATTCATGATACTTTTCTGGTTTGGGGCTCTGCACTGACTTCAAACTATAATCCTTGAGTCATGATGGCTCCCAAGTCTGTGAACTGACAAAGCCCCACCTGCAAGACTGCCACTGGATTAGAAGGAACATCTGAGGACTTGAAAAAGAGGTAAGTCTTTTCGGTGCTGACTCTGGCCTCTGACTCCATTAGCGTCACATTCTATCTCAGTGAGCACACAGAAGCCATGTGACTAAACTTCACACTATCTTGTATTTCTACACATGTATTTGTGACATTCACTTGTTATCCATTCATTTATATCATCCTAGTGCTAATAAGGGTAGAGAACTCTCTGAAGAGGCCCTTTGTAAGATTACAAGGCCCTTTCCTTTTTTTGTTTTCATCCTCTGAATATCTTCTATTTGAACTTTGTTGCTCAAGCCATTCATGACTCTCTGGAGGTCCCCTAACAAGCCATTGTACACAGCTGCCTGCATCTGCATCTGCCCCCTGTCTCCTTCCAGCTCTTTTGCCTAAAGAACTCTTATTCAATCTTTTTTTTTTTTTTCTTGAAAGATGACCGGTAAGGGGATCTAAACCCTTGACTTGGTGTTGTCAGCACCACGCTCAGCCAGTGAGCGAACCGGCCATCCCTATGTGGGGTCCGAACCCGGGGCCTTGGTGTTATCAGCACCGCACTCTCCCGAGTGAGCCAGGGCCGGCCCTTTATTCAATCTTCAAGAAAGTTCAAACTTCATCTCTGGGGGTTCCTGGATCTCCCACGTCCCCTAGCTTCCAACCCCACTCCAACAGATAAAGTTAACCCAATCTGGACATCCTACTGCATCCATTATACAAAACTCCATTAAAACATGTATCTCAAAATATTGTCATTATTTGCTTAAACATGTCTGTTCCCACTGGACTGAAGACCCCTTAAAGACAGAGATTTTGTGACACTCATTTTTCATTCTAGCCCAGGGTCAGGCGACTCTGCCAGAGGAGCTTTTGCCTCTGGTTAGGCTCACTCTCGCTGTGACTTTCTCTGCGTTTGTTTCCTTATCTTTAAAATGTGGACAATAAAAACATTTCTTGTCAGAGTTATAGGGAGGATTACAAAAGATAATGCATGAAAAGCTCTTAGCATAGTGCCTCGCAGAGGATAAAGTAGGCTCCTCTTAAATATTCCTGTGTAAGCGTTAAGTGAAAGAAATGACTTGACGTTGCCTGTTCATTTATTGAGCGCCTACTATGATACGTCCTGTACTGCGGTAAGTACAGCACGCTAAGTGCACAGAAGCAACCGCAGAACACTGGAGTGTTGTTAACACAGACTGCAGGCACTCAGGCAAGGTTTTCGGGAGCTTGCGTTTTGGTGGGGGAGGGGCTTGGAAAGGCGACGGTGGTAGTTGCCGGTAGCGACGACGGATAGTCCCCGCAGAGTCCACAGATTCCGGTTTGAACGCTGTGTGGGAGTGTGTGGCTGAGCACCCCACGAATGCGTGCGAAAGAGCAGCTCAGTGAGGTAGACGGAAGCGCTGGAAGTGAACTTCGGTTCTAGTCCTGTTTGGTTATTAGCCGCGTGACTTTGGCCAAGTTACCGAACCTCTCTGAACTTCCCCAATTGTAAAAAGAGTCTGTTAAGAATATTCACCTGTCAGGGTTCCTGTGAGGCCGCGTGGCCGCGAGTACGCCAATACGCCACTTAGAAGAAACAAAAAGCCGTAGCTTGTCCCTCCAGGTCAGCTGGGCTCTACGTCCGGCGCGCACGGGCGTGGGCTCCCTCTCTGGGCATGCGCGGTGGGCCAGCGGCGCCACCCGTCAGGCACCGCGGTAGACACCCCGGGGGCTGGCAGGACCCGGGCCCCAAGATGGCGGCCCCCAGCGAAGTGGCCGCGGCAGCCTCCCGCGGAGGAGATGGCGGGGGCGGCGGTTTTGGATCATGGCTGGACGGACGATTGGAAGCGTTGGGAGTGGACCGGGCCGTTTACGGCACCTACATCCTGGGTGTCCTGCAGGAGGAGGAGGAAGAAGAGAAGCTGGACGCTCTGCAGAGTATCCTCTCTGCCTTCCTGGTGAGTATCCCGGACACATTCCTTCAGCCTCAGGCCGGCATCTGAGGACTCCTTTCATACTTCGCAAACCCCTTCCCGTTCCTGGTGTCCCCGAGGCTCGGTGGTCTCACCTAGGAGAAGTATACACCTTCTCTGAGCTCTGGGACGCGGGGGAAGGAGATTGCTCCCCAACCAGGTTTTGGGGAACCTGAAGGTTGCAAGTGCATACAAAGGAATTGCTTTCCCTTATTCCTGGGGACAAGTCCCTCTCAGACGCCTGTGGGTGAGCTGGGGAGTGTTCTTCTAAAAGGCTTTGAAATGTCTAAATGGAAGTCTTATCATAAACATCTAACGACCAATTCCCAACTGTTTACAGTGTTTAGAGGGGGGAATAAAATGCTCTTGAATGTCTGTGCTCAGGGCTGTCCCATAACAAAAGCCTGCAGGAAGTACCCTCTTGGAGGTAGGAGTCCAAAAAAGGTAAGCTCGTGGTAAAAGTCTTTTTTTTGCCTTGGTGGAACTGAGCAAATGTTGTGCTTGATCCTTTACAATATTTAGAAATGTACTAGTCATGGTGGGGAGAAGAGGATGAGAGAGATCAGAGCTTTAAAGAAGAGAGATAAACTTGGTACTTAGCCTTTTAGAAGCAGATTCGGGAATTCAGAAATGTGTACTTTAAACTGTGTTTACATAGTAAGTCACCACGATGTCCATTTTTCCAACCTTGTCATTTCTTCCACCTTTATCTCCACTTCCCCCACTCCCAATACACACACTTATTAGAAGGATACTACAGATTAGAATAGTTACAGGTGATGCCTCTGGCTCTCCAACAAATTGTTTCCTTTTAAATTCAACAAGCTCAAAAACAAAATTTACTTGCATCATCACTAAATAATGTAGAAGCTACAGTTCTCACTGCATTTATGGTTTAGAGGAGATTCTAGAAACCGGACTGCTTCTATGAGAGCCATGTGTCCATCAAAGACTTTATTCTCTGGCATGGATCACAATGAACAAGTTTGGAAAATAAGCTGATTTATTATCCTCAAAACCAATTTTTAGGAACTACTAAAGAGGATCAAAAGGCAATATGAATATATATCTATACATACATATATAGATATAAATGTACCTACGGTTTTTCCCTAGGTTTCCATAGAGTAATGGTTAGGGTTAGGGTCAAGATATGCAGATACTCAAGTTTCTTATTATAATGACACAGTATTTGCATATAACCTACTCACATCCTCCCGTATCCTTTAAATCATCTCTAGATTACTTGTAATACCTAATATAATGTAAATGGTATATAAATAGTTATTATATTGTATTGTTTTAAAATTTGTATTTTTTTTATTGTTGTATTGTTATTTTTTACTGTTTTTTTTAACAAATGCTTTCCATCCACAGTTGGTTGAATTGGTGGATAGGGGGCCTGCAGTATAGAGGCCCAATTGTATACATACTTTGTTTTTTTAAAAGGAGAACAGGGCAGGGCCGGCCCGGTGGCGCACTGGATAGTGTGCTGCTTGGGAAGCGCGGCGGCGCTCCCGTCCGAGGGTTCGGATCCCACATACAGACCGGCTCCCGCTCACTGGCTGAGCGAGGCGCGGGAGCAACACCGAGG